AGTGGATGTGCACTGCTGGCTTCACGTTTCTACATCACACTGTACAAGTTGCATACTGGACCAGGACTTACATCTAAACTCACTGTGATGTCACACATCATGCTCATACCCCTTAAAATCAGCTTTTCATCCTTCTAGTGTCAAACAAAGAAAAAAAGAAGAACACATTTTTAAGTAGAAGGGGACACCCTTTTCCAACTTGTTTTGGGTTCGATTGGTCAGGTTTTACTCCCAGAGCTCCACGCCACGCTGCTGGTTTTGTTGCAGCAACAACTCAAATCACCTCATGTGACTTCTGTTCAACCCTGACCGTCTAAGCCGAGCAACTATTTCACTCAAAGGAGATCTGGAAAGCCCATCAGAACACGCAGACCCCAGACTGAACGTAGTGCACATTACTGAAAACCAAGCTAAATAGCTGTGGTCGCTTCAATGTAAAAGGCCTGGCTTATATCTGTGTCATCACGTATGCATACACTGGAGTTAAGTGTTGTTCTGTCCAGAGGGCAAACACTTTTCCCCTAATCACAAAGCCAGGCATGAAGAGAGAAGCAACACTAGAGGCTGAGGCCGTGTCTGTGTTACATACAGCATCTTGTGGTACATGAGTAAGATGTTAAGGCGTATCTGGCCCCAGTTTGCTTCATAAGTCAACTTGACCTGGTGAATAATCTTAAACAAGCTCTTCTCCTCTTTCAGTGTGAATCTGTGTACAGGCTCAGGACTCACAAACCGCCAAGCCTCCCACTGCTTCCATCACAAGAGCAGAGCCTCGAATGACTGATTACCAGTCTTCAGAGCCTTATTTGTCACAAAGCTAGAGACCCTGTCCACATTCACTTCAGTACACAGAAACCATGAGGTATGACTCGCTACAAGCATCTGGAATGAGTCTAGACCCTGATACCTGCGCATGAGGTGCACCTTTGCCAACTGAGTCACCATGCAGAAGGACGTCAAAATAACAAAATAAGCCACATGAAGATGTCACCTCGGGGTCTGAGAATCTGCGAACATTTCACAGACCAAACAATCCATCACTTCATCAAGAATCAATTATTAACAAGAACTAATTGAGGAATAATCACCAGACTCATTTCTATGTACTGTAATAGGCTATAATAATTGTTGCAGCTGTCTGATTGGCTGAGAATGTGCCATTCAAATGTTTCTTAGAATAAACAGATCTGATAACAATTCAATAATCATGTATTAATACTCTAAGGCTAGTGTCATCCCCTTACTGTAACCCATCAGAGTTATTGCGTTAAAAAGTGCCAATTAATTAAATGAATCTACAGTCTGCTGTTTCTCCAGAGTCCAAAACAATGACCAACCTTTATCCTTTGACACTGACATTAGTGGTTACAGACAGAAATTCACCGCTTAGTTGCAGGCAATTTCCCCTGTTGTGCAAAGAATTCCTGTTGACTTATCCATTTCTTATCTAAAATACTGCTCCTCTGTCAGCCTGTCTCAGTCCCAGAGGAGCGCCTGGACTGTCAGTAACTGAGTACAGTGTCATGCTGTCCTCCTGCTATTCTAGGGAATACCCTTTGTGAGCGCTGCATACACACTGTTTACCTGCGCTTCATGTTTATTGTTGTTTTCTAATAAAACGCGGCCAACACGGGAGAGAAGTGGACGTCAACATGAGCAGCTAACAGCCTGGGGCTTCAAGAAGGAGAGGAAGAGGGAAAGTTGGATCCAAGAGACAGATGTTTAGATGGATTTATGGGCGGTTAAACTAGCTGGAAAAGCTTATTGTAGCGGTATTTAACAGTTACGCACACCGTGTGCAGTGACAAACCACACTCTTCTAGAAACAAGCTAACAAGGCAAAGCGTTAGCGGTTAAAAACAAGCGGACGTTACCATGCAGAGTCTCCAGAAAATGTCCAAGTAAACTTGGTTGAAGTTAAAGTCGTTGCTGCCGTGGATGCAGATATCAGAGTGGTTTTCCTCCCGGCTGGACACTCACACCATTCCGTTGTTTTGTATGGATAACAGACGCGGACGAAGTTGGCGTGATATTTTGCTAAAGTGTGGGTAAACAGCCCACTCGCTCCCACTTTTAACCACTTTACTACCATCTATCTGCTTTTCACTGAAGGCTTAACATGGGGGCGGGGCTTAGAGGGAGGAGGCTGAGCTGTGCGCGAGATGGGCTGCTGAGGAGCTTCCCAACGCGGGAGGCACGTTCTCCTCACGAGCCCCCGCAAGCCTGTACGGGGTCCTTCACTTTCTTATGGAGGCCCATTTCTGTCAGTGTGACGGAAAATAAAAGATTCTGTAAGTCATTATAATTGACCTCGTATCACAAAGTCCGTCTTTTCAGATAATAAGTCAAAATTTTTAGAAAGTTTTCATTGTTTTGACACATTAAGTCATTATTTAGGAAAGTTTCTCATTGTAATGACTTACTTAATCAATTTTTTGTCACATTGGCGGAAATGGGCTTCCATAGTTATAGCATATACATTTTCAACCACAGTGGAGAATGTGCTGAAATGTCTTAGTACTCAGTCCCCATTTACAGTGCGGGCAGATTAGAGCTTTGATTGGGCCCAAAATATCAGACCTGACCCAACCCGAGCCTGAAAAACTTATTTGCAAGCACAAGCTGAACCAGAAGCAGTTTTGGGCCCAAACACGATTTTTTTTTTTTACAAGCTAAAGTAAACTACATTGTGCATACAGTATAATATAGTGCAAATTATTATCAAAACTAGTAACAAATGCACTCATTAATCATCGTTGCATGCATTATTAATGAAATATTAAATATACATTACACACAAATCTACTTCTGTCTGAGCCGGACCCGAGCCCGACCTACAGCAGTAATTTTGGGCCTGAACAGGGCGGATCGTGTCAGGTCCAATTTGATTCGGGCAGAGAATCAAAGCTCAAAGGCAGATGTGAAATTCTATACAAAACTTCAAAAAAGTTATTGTATAGGGTTGCTATAGGTCACTCTTATTGCATGAGGGCCCATGCAGTGATGTGTATCTATATGGGGGTTCTTGATGCCAGATTATGGGAATGTCTAGCAAAGCAAGAGTCTTGTTGCTGATCACTGCACACTTATGTGCCTCAGCTGAGCACTCAAGCATCTATTGCTGCAGAAAGAGGGTTTAAATATGTCTCTCATGGTTGGAAAAAAAGATGTTAGGGATGTAGGGAGATAAAGCTGCATAAATCTGGCATTAAGGTTAGTGGGGTGTCATAGACAAAAAGTTCAGGAACCTCTGCATTAAAGTAGTAACCATTAGTATACATATAGTATGCTGTTAAAACGAGTGCCACATCTACCGGAGTCAATATTAAAATGCTGCTTACACACTAATGCATCCATAATAATCATCCAATTATATAATAATCATGATAATATCACTCTGAAAGGGGCCATTCAGAATAATGACTACTTCAACTTTTGATTGCTGATTGATGAAGATAAGATTTGTTATGCAGAACTTTTACTTGTAGGTAAGGGGGCGTAGTATTAAACTGTCATCGGTAATTTTAGATATTTTGTGATATTGTCAACAATAATACTTTTAGACCACAAATTTCATATTATTTAAAAAAGTGTACAATGAACCCAAATAGTGAACTCAGTAACTGCAAGAAGTTTGTGTAAAACCAGTGATTCTGAGCAGATTTTATTCTTGTTTAGGAAACTTTTTACACAATTCTCTGTCTGTATTATGTTTTTAACAATCATACAGATTTACTCATTTTTGACTAATCAAAATGTTCTTGTCTTTTCCAAATACTGAGATATAGGCCTACTTTGTTTTTTTTTTAAAAAGTTTTTTAGGACGCTTAAAATCAAGAAGGCCTTGTGACCCCTCATGAAGCTTTGGCGACCCCCCAGGTTGGGAACCACTGTTTTAGACCATATGTGTAACAAACAATATAACAATGTATATACTTATGTATATGTATATGTATATATAGTTGTAAGTTTTTCTTCATTTTTAGGGCCCAAGCACTAACCGTGCCAAGGCCCTATTGTAATTGTAAGGATTCTTATTTTAGTAACAAATGAATCGCATTTTTAGAGGCTTTCCCATGCTCGAAAACTAATGAAATGTTGCGCACATGTCAGTCGTGGCGAACAAATTTCGTATTTTCTAGGGATCCACTATGAGCATGGCAAAATGGCCC